CTCCATGGCGTTGCTTAATTCCGCAAATCTCCTTCCTTATACTTGATGCTTTATGTGCAGGAAAATACTTTTCCAAGAACAGCTTCTTAAGGCTTGTCCAAGATGTGATTGAACCAGTGGGTATAAGGTACAACCAATCTTTTGCTCGGTCCATAAGAGTGAACGGAAAGGTTCTTAACATGAATTGATCTTCAGGAATACCTTGAATACTTGTTGATGCGCAGGCAATCTGGAAATCAGTTAGATGTCGGTGAGGATCTTCTCCAGGCAAACCGTGAAATTTGGGTAAAATCTGAATAAATCCAGATTTTATCTCAATGGTTTTAGTTGTATCTGCGTATTGAATGGCTAAGCGTTTGGCATTGACGTTTGGTGCAGCTAACTCTCTCAGAGTTTTGGGTACTTCTGCGTTGGCCATGTCTTCTGACAATGTTGAAACAGCGGATCTAGGAGAACTTGGTTGAGAATTTGAATTGGATGACTCCTCTTCTTGTAATCGGCTTTGTGTCTCCTTCCTTAATTGAAATAGTGTTCTTTCAGGCTCAGGATTGAATTCTAAATCTTCAATACCACTACTTCTTGTCTTTGGCATGCAATTTCCTAGAAAAATCAAGAACAAAACTAAAAAGAAAAATTAGCAGTAACAGTTCTTAAACAAAAATTAAAAAGTAAAAATAGAAAAAAAAAATTTCGATGCAAACCCTAATTTTTTTAAATCGCAAACTTTTTTTTTTATAGAAAAAACGGAAAAACAATTTTTTTTAGAGCAGATTATTACTTTGATCTAATCTCACTTCACTTCCCTTCCCTGGCAACGGCGCCAAAATTTATGATCGGTCGTCAGCAATCATAAAAATAATCCTCACAAAAACTAACTAAACTAGCTAGGGCAGGTAGGGGTTGAATCCCACAGAGAAGGGTTATAATTGTGAAGAACTTCTCCAAAGAATATATCTTTTCCAAAAAACACATAGAAAGAGGCGATTAATTATATCAATTATAAAGAAAACAATTAAACTAAAAATAAAGTAAAGTAAAGTAAATCTAGATCTAAGGCAAATTATAAAGCAAACAATAATTATAAAGCATACTTCTTCTCCGATGGTATCATTCAATCAGATTAACTATGGATCATTGATTTAAAAGGTGAATTTAGCATCTTATTCTTGACTGACAACTGATATAGGAAATTCCAACATGTATATTAGATTAGAGGCCGATCAAAGCTTCAGCAATCGATTACTTTCTCAGGGCTTAAAGATTGCTTGAGAACAAAGCATTAAGAACAATTAATTTTACACACATGCCTACAGGTAGAACCATACGAAGAGAAATTTATCGCCCTCCGATAGACAAACGCCCATCAGGCAGCGATCAAACAAACCTGATTTGCAACCATAAATCAAACTCGGGGCTCAATCCTTATTTGACTAGCAATAGTCTCATATTTTTTGCCTTTTCTTGTGTTTAAGGGTAATTGAACCTTTTATTACTCTTTGAAAACCAATAATAAAAATGAATTTTGGACTTGTACAATTGAAGGAAACAAAAATGAACTTGCTTTTCGTCCGAAAAAGGCATTTTGGGAAATGGCAGGTGAGAATAAATACCTTCCGTCCGGGAAGGGCGTTTTGGGAAATAGCAAGCAAAAATAAAGGGCTTCCGTCTGGGAAGGGCGTTTTGGGAAATAGCAAGCAAAAACAAATGGCTTGCGTCTGGGAAGGGCGCTTTGGGAAATAGCAAGTAAAGATGAATGGCTTCCGTCTGGGAAGGGCGCTTTGGGAAATAACAAGTAAAAATAAATGGCTTCCGTCTGGGAAGGGCGCTTTGGGAAATTGCAAGTAAAAATGAATGGCTTCCGTCTGGGAAGGGCGCTTTGGGAAATTGCAAGTAAAAGTGAATGGCTTCCATCTGGGAAGGGTGTTTGGGAAGAAACAGCTAAACAACACCTACTGGTGAGGAAGGGCAAACTGGAAATAGACAAAGCTAGTCTTCGAACTTCTGAGTTTTCAATTCTTGACCTAAATATTAATTAATGCGTGTATGAAATGATGAATGCAAGGCCCGATTTTATTAATTGATTAATAAAAAGGAGTTTACTTGAATTGGCCTTCACGAACCTAGCCCGGCCCTCCAGGGATATTCGTGAAAACCAATCAATCTCGGGGCGAAATCCCGAGAGGTCGTGCTCTTGCACCTTTACCCGAGATTTGCCCGTCGTAGCTAAAAACACCCCTTTATTAATCGAGACAGATAATGGTGGCATGAGATGCAAACAGTCATAAAACATGATATGCATGTAATTACAAATTATTAAGCTAACTTAAACTAATTACAAAAATTAAATCAAAGTTAAACAAATTAAGAGAACTCGAAAGCTAAGGGCCAAATTGGACCATTCAGGGACATTTCTGCACATAAAATAAACGATCAGTAAAGTTCAGGGATCAAAAGGCGTTAAAAGGCAAACAAAACCCTAAATTAGGGACCAAATTGCAACAAACAAAAGATAGTATCTTAAACCAGGGACCATTTTGAACAAGGAAACAAATTCTAGTCTTTAAGAGGACTAATTAATAATTTATAGGATCTAAATGCATCAAATTAAGGGCATAATTGAAGAAAATTAGAAAGTTTACCTGATTTGGTCGTTAGTATAAAAACCAACTTCCTCTTCTTTTTCTTTTCTTTCAAAACTGCTAGAAACCCTAGCCGCCGCACCCTTGCCGCGCTGGAAATCGCACCACCGTCGGACCACCACGCCGGATCTGCCAACGAATGCCGTTCGCCCTCAAAATCTCCAGAAATGGTCAATGTAACCTCCTCTTTCAAAATCCGAGCTTACTTTTCTCCAACACAGCCTTTAACCTCCCAAATCGAGCCAAATCCGATCATAAAATACCTTCTCCGATCTCATTACCCAACCGTTGGACCGACTTGATCTTGAGGTATGTTAATCTCCTAGCCTTCTACTTCAATAGCCGCCGCCGGGAAAACCCTTATTCCGAAAATATGAACCTTGATTTGATCTTTTTGTTATTTCAGCACTGGAAACCAAGAGAAAGGGTGTGAAATCAAGTGAAAGTTCAAGAGTGATAAGATATTGAAAGGGTAAGTTCTTTTGAAAGCTACGGTTTTGTTTCTTTTTTTGCTTGGTTTTCTGTTGAGAGGAAGTCTAGGGAATGAAGAGATAGAGAGCCTTAGTCTCTCGAGAGAGTGGTGAGGGTGTGAAGTGATGATTCCATTCCTGAAGAATGAGAGAGTTTCTGTATTTTTTCTTCTAAGTGAGAATGAGAGCTAATTTTTTTGGTGAGATTGAGTGAAGAGAGAGGTGAGAGAGAAGCTCCTCAGAGAGAGAGAGAATTCGTGAATCCCCCCGAAGAAAAAGAGACCGAGATTGAATCTGTGTATTATTTTGAATGAGAGAGATTGTGGAGAGAGAGTGAGTGAGAGGTTTTTTTTCTTTTTTTTTGTGCGAATGAAGAATGTGTGAAGAAAAATCGAGAGTGAGGTGAGAGAGAGACTGCTTCTTCGGAGAGAGAGAGGATCCCTGTCCTTTTTGGCAAGGCATGATCTTTGTCCTGTATGCAGCTGCAAATTTGGTGAATGGTTCAGGTACCTCTTAGCCCTTCTCTCTCTTACTCATTTTTGTTTCATGCTCTTCTCTACTTGCCTCTCACGTGAACTCTTCCTTTGCAGGTGTGCTGAGCTGGCTTGTGGGGTTCACTTGGGAGCCAATCAATGGCTGCCCCATCATGGTAAGCTCTCTTCCCTATTTGTTGGTGAGCTATGCTCTGCATTTGGATGCTTTGTTTTTTCTGATTTGTTTCCCATGTTGTCTTTATCACTGAACTTTCTCATTTTCCATTGGTCCTGATCATGTTGCTGCTGCCTTATTGAATGAACTGATGATGATTATAAATGATGCTATTACATGCTAAAATGCTTCCTAAATGATTTGAACCTAACACTAATGTAAAATGCTTGTAATAATGTGAAATGCTTGTGTGATGAATGTTGTACAGTTCAATGTGATGAATTGTTAAGAATGATGTGATGAAATATGCATGCTGGAACGCTAGGATTATGCCTATGTATGTGAGTGTAAATGCAGTTCTGTCTTGACGAGAAATGCGCTGGACTTTGGGGGATGTTGTTGTCTAAACTACTGCATGTGATTGATGACAGGATTTGGAAACAAAAATGTATGTAAATGTCCTACTGTGAAAACTTGCAGCAAGCTAACAACAAGAATTGAAACTGTTTTATTGTGCTGAATTGTAAGCTTCGACTCTTGATTACAGGTGAGGTTTGCATTGGGATTTCACCCTGTGGGAATCAAACTCCTAAGGCTGCCATGGGGTCACAGAGCAAGGCGACAAGGGCTAAAAAACCCTCACTGCCTTGTATATTGAACATGAAAAAGAAAGGACTCGGAAAAAGGACTTCTTTTGTAGTTTCCTGATTTTCAATTTTTTTGTACTTTTTATAATGACAATGCCATGTAAATGCAAATGTAAATTCTACTTCTACTAATGCAATGTGAAATTAGTCTAATTAATACGATGAACCAAATTGTGTAAGATGACTTAATATTAAGATAAATGGGATAATTGGCAATGCGAAACTACTATTTAATGAAGACAAGATGAAAATGCTTTTGGGCTTTTCAATTTTGAATGTAATATGTTAATGCAACCAAAAGAAAAGCAAAGCAAATAAAGAAAAATAGGGACTAATTTAGTAAAATGCTGAGTACTGAACTACTACCAAATGCCAGAATGTCCCTGGTGTAATCCTAATGCAAATTAAGAGATAATTTAATCTATACTAAAAGATACGGGCCAAAATGGGTGTCTACAACAAGCTCACAATGAAAACATGCGGCCTAGGAGGGGAGTTGAAAGAGAAGAGCCTAAAGACAACATCAAGTACAAAATCCCTAAATTCAATGGGAGAGGGTCACCATCAGATTACTTGGAGTGGAAACAAATTTGGATATGTACTTTGATTATTATCCTCATGCCGAGTCTAAGAAGGTGCAAATTGCTACTCTTGAATTTACGAAGAATGCTTTGAATTGGTGCAATCAATTGGTTCAATCAAGGAGAAGAAATTTAGAGAGGCCTATTGATACTTGGTTGGCGTTGAAAAGTTTAATGAGAAAGAGATTCGTTCCAAGTTATTATACCAATTCTCTTTATCAAAGTTTGCAATCTTTGAGGCAAGGAATAAGGAGTGTTGATGAGTACTACTCCGAGATGATGTTGTTGATGTCTAGGCCCGAGGTTGATGAAGCTCCACAAGCCACTATGGCTAGGTTTTTGGTGGGGTTGAATAGAGAAATTCATGATATTGTGGAGATGCAACAACACTATGATGTTGAGGAGTTGCTTCAACATGCATTGAAGGTTGAGAGTCAAGTGAAAAGGAATGGTGCAAAAAAAAGCTTTGCATCATCATCTAGCTCATGGAAAACTCCAATCAAGAAAGATGAGAAATCATCCAACAAGGAGAAGGAGTTGGCGCAAAAGGGAACAAGCCCTAAATCCGATTCTAAATCTTCATCAAGTTCTTCTTCTAAGAATCATGTTAAGTGTTTTAAGTGTCAAGTATTTGGCATTATGCTAAGGATTGTGTTAACAAGAAAGTGATGTTTTTGAATGACCAAGGAGAAACCGAAAGTGAAGATGAAGAATTTACCCTAGGTTCTAGTGGTGATGGAGGTGATGAGAGGGGATTTGCGCAGGATGATGATGATGATACACCGGCACTCTTGAACTTAGTTGCAAGAAGAACTTTAAATGCCTATGTTAAAGGAGATGTGAACAATCAAAGGGAGAATTTGTTTCATACTAGGATCTATGCGAATGGGAAACCTAGTAGTGTGATCATTGATGGAGGGAGTTGTACAAACATAGCTAGTGTGTACTTAGTGAAGGAGTTAGCGTTACCTACCACTAAACACCCTAAACCCTATAGTTTAGGATGGTTCAATGATAGAGAGGAGATTAAGGTTAACAAACAAGTTTTAGTTTCTCTTTCTTTGGGCAGGTACAATGATGAGGTGCTATGTGATGTTCTTCCAATGCAAGCATGCCATGTCTTATTTGGTCGACCATGGCAATATGATAACAAGGTCCATCATGATGGTGAGACAAATAAGTATTCCTTCATGTGTGGTAAGCGTCCTATTACTTTGATTCCTTTATCACCTCAAGAAGCTTTAAAAGATCAAATTAAAGTCAGAGATGAGTTTGCTAAGATGGAATCCGATTATAGGGCTAAAGAAAAGGCTAAACATGCTAATTTGAATGTGAATTGCGTTGAAGGCAAATCTGATTTGGTTGATAAGCATGCTAGTTCTAAGAAAGTTGTTAAGGAGTGTATGTTAGCTACTAAGAGTTAGATTAAAGAAGCTTTGAATGATAATTCTGTTTTGATCTTGCTTATGCTTAAAAATACACTTGTTGCTACTAACGACTTGGAAAGAGAGCTTCCAAGCAACATTGTTTCTCTTTTGAGTGATTATGTAGATGTGTTTCCTGAGGAGATTCTAGCGGTTTACCACCAATTAGTGGGATTGAACATCAAATTGACTTCATCCCTGGAGTGCAAATACCTAATAAGCTAGCTTATAGGACAAATCCTGAAGAAACAAAGGAGTTGGAGAAGCAAGTTGGTGAGCTACTACAAAAGGGTTTTGTGCGTGAAAGCCTTTCTCCATGTGCAGTTCCTGTTTTGCTTGTTCCTAAGAAGGATGGAACTTGGAGAATGTGTGTTGATTGTAGGGCAATAAACAACATAACGGTAAAGTATCGTCACCCTATTCCTAGATTAGATAATATGCTTGATGAATTGCATGGTGCTTGCTTATTTTCAAAGATTGATTTAAAGAGTGGCTATCATCCAATTCGCATGAAAAAGGGTGATGAATAGAAAACTGCCTTTAAAACTAAGCTAGGGTTGTATGAATGGTTAGTTATGCCTTTTGGATTGACTAATGCACCTAGTACATTCATGAGGTTAATGAATCATGTTTTGAGAGCTTATATTGGCAAGTTTGGTGTTGTTTATTTTGATGATATACTTGTGTATAGCCGAAACCTAGATGAGCATGTTAATCATCTAAGATGTGTGTTAAATGTACTTAGGGTTGAGAAGTTGTATGCTAACCTTAAGAAGTGCACCTTTTGCACAAACAAGCTTGTTTTTCTTGGTTTTGTGGTGTCATCGCAAGGTATAGAAGTTGATGAGGAGAAGATCAAAGCAATCAAAGATTGGCCAACTCCCACCAACGTTGGTCAAGTGAGATCTTTTCATGCACTAGCCGGATTCTATAGGAGGCTTGTTAAGGACTTTAGCACCTTAGCCGCACCTATTACTAGTGTGATGAAGAAGAATGCACCATTCAAGTGGGGAAAAGAACAACAAGAAGCATTTGAGACCTTGAAGGAAACTAACTAATGTTCATTTGCTTGTTTTGCCTAACTTTAACAATACTTTTGAGATTGAATGTGATGCATCAGGGGTTGGAATTGGAGCTGTTTTGATGCAAGGTGGGAAGCCCGTGGCATATTTTAGTGAGAAATTGAATGGGGCTACATTGAATTATCCAACCTATGAAAAATAGTTGTATGCTCTTGTGAGGGCGTTGCAAACTTGGCAACACTACCTATGGCCTAAGGAATTTGTGATTCATACGGATCATGAGAGCTTGAAGTATTTAAGAGGCCAACAAAAGTTGAACAAGAGACATGCTAAGTGGAGTGAGTTCATAGAGAGCTTTCCTTATGTTGTGCGATACAAACAAGGTAAGGAGAATGTTGTAGCCGATGCTTTGTCAAGGTGGTATGTATTACTTTCCATGCTTGATTCTAAGTTTCTTGGATTTGAGTATATTAAGGAATTGTATGCTAGTGATGTTTACTTTGGTGAAATCTTTAAAGCATGTGAAAATTTTGGATTTGGAAAGTATTATAAGCATGATGGATTTTTGTTTAAGGAGTCTATATTGTGTGTACCTTCTTGCTCTTTGCGTTATGTTCTTGTGAGGGAATCGCATGAAGGGGGTTTAATGGGTCACTTTGGAGTTGATAGAACTTATAAGATATTGCATGAACACTTCTTTTGGCCTAAGATGCGATATGATGTAGGAAAGCATGTTTCTAGTTGCCTTGTTTGTTTGCAAGCTAAATCTACATCTAAGCCTCATGGATTGTATACTCCTTTGCCTATTCCTCATGAACCATGGACTCATATTAGTATGGATTTTGTGTTAGGTTTACCTCGTTCTAGGAGAGGTAAAGATTCTATCTTTGTGGTTGTTGATAGGTTTTCTAAGATGGCACACTTCATTGCATGCACTAAAACGGATGATGCCATTAATGTAGCTAATTTGTTCTTTAAGGAGATTGTTAGACTTCATGGAATGCCTAGGACGATTGCAAGTGATAGAGATGCTAAGTTCTTAAGTCACTTTTGGAGAACTTTATGGGCTAAGTTGGGTACTAAGTTGTTAAATTCCACTACTTGTCATCCTCAAACCGATGGCCAAACTGAAGTAGTTAATAGGACTTTGTCAAACTTACTTAGAGCTTTAATTAAGAAGAACTTAAGAACTTGGGAGGATTATCTACCTCATGTTGAATTTGCATACAATAGAAGCATACATAGTACTACTGGACATTCACCTTTTGAAATTGTGTATGGTTTTAATCCTTCAACCCATTGGATTTGTTGAGTTTACCTTTGAGTGTGCAAGTCGACTTGGATGGTGCAAGGAAGGCCGATTTTGTTAGGGAGCTTCATGGTAGGGTTAGAGCTCAAATTGAGAAGAAAACACAACACTACATGAAGGTTGCTAACAAAGGGCGCAAGGAAGTCATCTTTGAACATGGTGATTGGGTTTGGTTGCATCTAAGGAAGGAGAGGTTCCCTGAAAAGAGAAAGTCTAAGCTCTTACCTCGTGGAGATGGTCCATTCCAAGTTTTGGAGAGGATGAACAACAATGCCTACAAGCTAGATCTTTCAAGCGAATATGGCAATGTAAGTGCTACTTTTACTGTTTCAGACTTATCCTTGTTTGATAGTGATGCAGATTTGAGGACAAATCCTTTTCAAGGGAGAGGGGATGATGCGCCAAGGGCTTATCATGGTCTTGAAGAGCACAATGGAGCTAATGGAGATCATGCTATGGATAAACATGAAAATGTCTCGGATATTCAAGAAGCTGCTACGGTTGATCCCGGATTGAAAGGAAGCTTGGAGGAGCATGGAGATGAAGGGATCACACATGACCGGCCATTGCATGGAGCAATCGCATATGACTGGGCACAACCCGGGCACAATCGGCCATTTGATCCTTTAGCCATTCCACAAGGTCTTATGACAAGGGCTCGGGCTAAAAGGTTCAAGGAAGCTTTATTGGGCTTGGTACGAACTCATCTTGGAGGTTTGAAGTCCATTGAAGATCAATTGGAGAGCATCGAAGACATCATGCCATGGAATACTCCCAACGATTCCAAGCCATGCACTTTGCTTGAAATCGTTGAGCATTAGAGCTATCATTGTGTAATTCGGCCAATTGGGCCTTTATTCAATCTTAGATTAGCTATTTAATTAGTCTAGAAGACATTGGGTTGGGCCTTGTTTGACTAAGTCCAATCCTTGTTTAATTAAGTTATGTTATTTACTTTTCCTAGTAGGACAAGGAGTAGGTAGTTTCTGATCGAGCTAAAATTATGCATATTTTTATAGCTATTTTTATATACTTTTCGCCACTTTTATATGTGTTTTTACCCTATTTTGCAAGAATTTGTGTTTTTAGGTCTTGAAGACAAGAAAAGTGAAAACTTATTGTTTTTCACTCTTTTTGGAGCTATTTTGGAGACTATTTACTCAACTATGGATTTGAATATTCGAAGTTCGTGTTTGAAGATTTCTTGAAGATATTTTGAAGATTTGAAGACCATTGAAGAATTAATTCAAGGAAGAATTGAAGATTTGGAGCTTATTTGCAAAGGATTGAAGCCAAGCCCAGAAGAAGCCCGGAAGTTAAGGATTTTTGGATAATTTATATGGGATTATACTCAGCCCATATAAGTCAACAATTGGAGTTAAAATCTGAATTTGTGGGCTTAATATCCAAAGGAATATCCAAATCCCGCAATTTCCCGCAGATTTGCGATTTAATCCCGGTTTCAGCGCAGTCTCGGTAGAAAGACCATAACTTTGTGCTCAGATGTCCCTTTTGAGCCCATGAGTATCTGTTGGAAAGCTAATTCCGAGCTATACAACTTTTCTTTGAAGTCCAAAGCCCAGTTCTGCCATCTTCAAACCCGAATTTGCCGTTGAAGTTTTTGCAGAAATCCAGAAAATTCCAGAATCCTATTTTGACTTGGATTCTACTCTAGGATGACATCTAATCCAACTTGGAGACCAAGTCAAGCCTAAACCGTCCTACCCTATTCATCCACTATAAATAGCCACCTCTTGTAGCATAAATCACATACCTTTACATACCTTTAGATACCACATCATAGATACACATAATTCTCTTTTTCTACCTTTCTTTAGTTTAGGTTTTCTCTAGTTTTTAGAAGGGGAGTTGACACCCTCTCTAACCATAGAGGGGTGCGACAAACCTAGGGTTTTCAAGGGAGAATATCGCCTCTCTCTAGTCCTGTAAGTATTCTTATGCCTCTCATGGATTTTCCCAAGTCCATGAGTAGCTAAACTTTTAATACTTCTAATCCTTTGGTGAATTCAATCAATTGATTATTGTGAGATTTCTATACTTATAATTTTGTGTTAAGTTCTTGATGGTAGTAGACAAAACCCTGTTTTATTTTATTATCTTGAATCTTATTGACTTAAGTGGCCTCTAAAGTCGTAATTGGACTAAAGTCAAAAGCAATCTTTTATTTCAGACCCATAATCGATCTAGATTAGACTAGAGGTACCGTCATTTGACGGGCGTTTAGGGGTGCTAATCCTTCCCCAAACGTAATCGACTCCCGAACTTAGATTCAGGTAACAAGACCTGACCTATAGGTTTAGTGGGTCCCTCGCCAAGCCTTGGATCTCATTAAGCTGACTAGGTCAATCAGGTGACTAATCACACCCCAAAATTGATTAGTGGCAACTCCACTCCCTCTTTTCAAAGTCGTTAGCGACAGGGTTCGGACCCCGGACCCGCACGTTGCGATAGCTTGGCGACTCCGCTGGGGACTTTAGAGAGTCAGGCCTCACTTAGTCTAAACAAGATCTAGGGTTTAATAAATTGATTGCTTTGTCTCTTCTTCTTCGTTTTTGCATCTTTTGTTGCTTATACTTACTCATGTTTAATCGTGTTTTCATGTTTGTGATGCATCAGCTTTAGAATTTAATAGTTTGGTATTTGGTATGGTATGTGGTAATGGTAGGTTGTTCCTTCACACACCTCACTTAGATTGCATCTTGCATTTGCATTTTTGCCACCCTTTAGATTTTGGAGGTATAATACGCAAGACTTCGTGGGGCCAACCAGGTCCCCGTATAGGTTGTGCGGAAAAACCTCCACCCAAGGAGATCCTACCTACTCAAATTGATGGGTGATGGTAGTATCGAAATGGGTTCCTTCTAGGTTGAGTGGACTAAACCCAGCATATAAGTCGGGACACCCCTTACCCTTCTCGTTTTTTCAAAAACAATAACCGTAGAATGAGTAATTGCATTGCTCATAATAAATGGACCAACCTGCCACAAAGGATTCACAATCCAAGTGTTTTTGAGGAAAATGTTTTGATCAATAAAAGAAGGGGCATGTTTCTTCTTTAATTTCCAGTTATTCGTTAATATTAATGTTCAGTTACTAACCATTCTTGGACTTTTGTTGCTTTCTTTTTGCAGACGCATCTGTATAACCCCTCTGTTTTGCAGGTTGCATTGTGCATTCACATGTATTCATATTCTATGATACTCTCATTGCATATAGCCAAGCAAAAACATGCATTTGCTCGTCAGCATATTCTACCATGTCATGCACTTTTTTTCAATATCCATGCCATGTCACCATAAATCCTTATCATTGCCAAAGCATCATGCTATGCATTTATACATATGTATACACATTCATTATCATCAACACATTGTAAATTCGTACTTAGATCACTTGTAAATCTCACCTATTCATGGCAATTCATTTAGTTGGGAGTCCGAGATATTGAGGCAGTATGGGTAGCTCATTGGAAGCTCGAGTGCAGCAGTTGGAGTTTGACCAAAAGAAGATGGAAAAAGACATGATTAAGATGAAATGCAAGCAAGAAGCATTTGCTGAGGAGGTTGGCAAGCTAAGGGAGCATGTTCTTAGGTTGTTTATAAAGAGTGGGGATCTAGAAGGGGCTCAATTACTTCTCTCTTCAAAAACACCATCGAAACGGACTCACTCCGGCCATGAAGGGTCAGAACCCACCAATGAAATCACTTTTGGCTCAGAAAATATAGAAAATTTATGCAATATCGCACAAGGAATGGATGAGTTAACCAAGCAAGTGGAGGAGTTCAAGACTTGCATGTCACAAGTGGAGTCTTTTGATGCAGTAAAGTCGCATAACAACTATGTCCAGTTGACTGACCCACTTCTTTACCCTCCAACTTATCATCCGCCAAACTCCGATCAATGGAGAAACCCTTCTAACTCTCATCAGCCTCAACCTTATTGTCAACCAAATTTCAGGCCAAACACCCCATTTCGATCACCCATCCACAAGCAAAAAACTCAGCCAGTCTCCAAACCTCCCACTCCAAGAAAAGAACCAAATGAGCTTGCAAATCTTATTCCAATTCCAGGCACTTACACAGAATTACTCCCACGGCTATTGCAACAAGGTTTGTTGGAAAGGTTACCATATGTTCACCCTTTGCCCCTTAATCGTCGACCCAAGTGGTACAATGCCGACGCCCATTGTCAGTACCATTCTGGAACCTCGGGCCACGAGACTGAAGACTGCCCAAAGCTAAAAGTCGAGGTACAAAGGTTGATCGAAGAAGGAAAGTTAACTTTTGGAGCAAATGGTAGCCCCAGTTTCAGTCAGCGTCTATCAGTCGATTCTGAAGGAGCGTCGACAAGTACTCAGTGATCTTGCTAGGGGAAAGCTAGATCCCTCAGTGTTTGTGCCTAAGAGCACTGGAAGAGTTGTTTGGGCTTTATTTTCATGGTCCGTTTTGTATATAGTTATGGTCATGTTTGAAGTCTGATGTAGTAAAACAATGTAATGGTCGTCAGCAATGAAAAGAGGAATTTCATTGAGATTGGCTTCATCTTCCGTTTGTCTGGGCAAATTCATTGTTTTGCTTCATGCATTCATTCATTCACCATGACATTCACTCATACATTGCATGGATAGCTTTGACTCCATTTCACAATAAAAGAATAATGTTTATCAATAGAAAGAAATCTGACGGCTCAGCAACTTTGTGGAAGATTTAAAGCTTCAGGGGGAGGAAAGCATGTGTGACTCGACAAAGCACATCGTAAAGCAAGTAGAAAAGATTGGAGGCGCAAAACGGGGTCAAAAACCTTCCTCTCATAGATACTTTGAAGGTAGTCAGGCCGTGCCAGTAAAGTCGCTCCCGCTCTAACAGATAGCCAGCTAGTAGATGACTCCAGGGTGTCAGGGAGAAAAAGTTAAAGACAATATCAGAAGTTATACCTTGAGTAGTTTCTCGAGTAAAAGAGGGTCATACAGCTCAATCGCAAAGGGGCAACGGAAGCCCACCAGAGGGGGGAATTTTTGAAACTTTGGAGCACATCTTACGCATGCATTACATCAGCATAATATTTTGGTTTAAATCATTGAATTTTGAATCTTTTAGCATGTAGGATCGCATTGTGTTAATAGTGGTTCAAATTGTTGCACTTTCATTAATCGACTTAATTAAATAAAGTTCTGTTACTAAAAAATAAAAATAAAAAGGAGGGAAAAGAATAAAACTGGCAGAATCATGTGACCACCACTTAAAGACAGTTTTCAAAAGTGCCCAGCAAGGGGCAAGAATCTTCGTCTAAGCAACGACCAAAGGAATGAGGAGGTTTTCAATGATAAAACAAGAAAAATTATTTTCAATAAAAAGGTTACGAATAAACGAAAGGTATTTCGATTTTCGGGTCAACACTTTGTCTAACCCTAAATTTCTTGATACCAAAAGAGCTCATTCTTTTCTTAGAAAACAAATTGAACCAAAATTCCACGCTTCCATCAAGATGTGCTGAAACCTCCTCATGCTACAGAGGAAATCACTTGAAAGGCCAAATTCAAATCACTTTCAGGCCTTAAGAAGATGAATTGGTTCAGAGATCAAATAAGTCAATCTAAGCAACACCTTTTCAAACCACTTCAATTGTTGAGACACCTTTATCACCCTTGTGATCAATGGAGGGACAATATTTAGTAGCAACAAAGGGCTCATCAATAAGGACATCAGAGAAGACCACGAGGCAGAAGACATCAATCATCGAATTCCCATCAAAGAAAAAGAAAAAAAGCTGGGCCTAAAAAAGAAAGAGGTCGCAAAAAGAG